AATTTGGTAATAGAGCATAATTTATTACAAAAGCATATTCGTTTTCAATATGCTACGATGCGAATATTCATATTTCTTATCAAGGTTGTGACTAAGCTGAAATTATTAAAAAAAATCAATAAATGGTATGAATTACAAACATATAAATGTTTGAATCTTCCGTATTAATTTACTATTATGCTGAATGAAGACAACAAAAACTGCGGAAAAGTATAGCTTCACTCACTAGAAATGATACAAAAGAATTTAGGCAAAAGAATTTTTTAAAATTCCGATTAATTTTCTCAAATTACGTTCAATTAAAATTATCGAAATTAATCATAAATCTTTCATTTCATCTTTTTTATTAATAAGTTTTTAATTTTAATATTTTGTTTTTCTTAATGAATATTCTAAATAAAGGTTACATTTATGAAAATCTTAAGTTGTATTTTAGAATGCAACTCTATTACAGATAGTTCCATATAGCTTAGTTTGATAACGATTTTTAAATATATAAACTGCAATAAAACTATATTAATTGAGATCATGGAGAAGCATTTATGAATAGTCAGTCCAACCGATCAAATATTGCAATGGACCGCGTTTTATAACTGGAGTAAATTTTCTATTATGATTTTATGAAAAGCCCTACTTAGAATATATATTTTCCCCTCCTTCTTTCTCTTTGTTGGAATTATTTAATTGCAACTATTCATAAAGGCAATCTTAATTTATGATACTGAGCTTAGGAAAAATACAATCGTTCAATTTACTGCTGCTCATCAATCAAGTCGTAAAAGCAAAAATTTATTATAGACTACTTTAAAAAAGTGTATATTGGTTATTAAGATATATGATTCTGTTTGAAAAATAGGTGGCTTTCAGCTTTAATTCCTCAAAACAATTAAGATTTTCAATAAAAATTAGTATATTTTTCATTGATAAAACATTTAGTGTTATACTATTCACGAATTTGTAGAGTATAATTTGTTTAAATGACAAAGAAAGTATTTACAACTCTTTAGTTCCTCTTTCATCCATCTAGAAATGAAATGTTTCGGCTACTGTCCTCTTCAGACCAATGAAATAACATAAATTGAAATATTACTTTAAATATTCCATATAATTAATCATTTTGATAAAAAGTAATAATGTGTTTCTTGCATATCTATAAACGCTAATCATTACTATATATTTTATTTTATTTTTATATTTTAGATAGGCTTATATACACACTACCTGTGTATGTTAATCTACTAAATCTATTGTAAGGCTTCTGTTAACTCTTAAATCGTTTAATATGTCATTTAAAAAAAGGCACAAAACAGGCATCTGGAATAAATAATCAGCATTCTATCAAGTTTTTTTATAATCTTTTTTCTAGATATCACTATAAAACTTATTACATTGCAATTTATATTATCTGATTGGAACCTTTACAAACATTCTAGAATTAGATCTTTAACAAATTAGCTACCTAAAAATAGAAACTATAATTACTTGTTATCAAATCTGTTAACATTTTAATTGAGTTGTTCAAACATATCCTTCAATTAAGGATATGTTTAAACACTGCATACTATTATTTATTGTTGTATTCTTTGTTTTTAAGATAAAGAGAAAAATTTGAGGCAGTGATTTTACACAAATTTTATTAAATTAATTACAACTTGCAACTTGCAAATTACAACTGCATTGATTTATTAAAAGTTTAGTCCATACCCAAATTTCTTTGAAACCTCCAGAATTCTCTAATTTTTACACTCATAATACAGGTATCCTTCATATAACACGGTAGTTACGTTCCGAAAAAGTGCCGTGTTATGCGAATTCGTGCAAAGAACTAATGCGAATTCGAAACAAAGAAGTAATGAAAAACATAAGCTTACATTCCAGAAGTTAGCAAAAGCGTTTCCTTTTTTTACAAAGTATCGTTGTCGTCTCATCTGTTTTGTTGATCTTAATCAGAAATATCAGCAAAATTTTCATATTTTTTATATTTTTTATCATAAAAAATTGTGAAATTTTGTACGGAGGATTTCCAAAACCGTGTTAGGACGAAACCGAAAGTCGTTTTATACGGGATATTCCCAATTTTCAAACCCTGTTAGTGCGAAACCGTGTTGTACCAGGGATACACTTAAGGCTGTTATACACGGTAAAGAAATCCTTTGAGGATTAACCATGATTTTTTTTCTATCTATCCATTTTTAAATAAAAATAATTCTTTATACGTTGAGAGATATTTTAATAAGTTTTGTAAATTACTATGTTCGATCCAGCCAGTTATATCCGAGTTTTTTTCGTCTGTTAAGCACATCCTTTGAGGATTTCCTTACCGTGTATACCAGCTTTTTTATATATATATATATATTCTTTCCGCTCTGTGGGCACTAAGAGGGCCTCTTATAGCAGGCCCATTATGAGTTCGGTCAGGCCCACAATGGGACGACCGGGTGGTGAGGACGGGGCTCGACATATCCGAACGGACCATTCCCGAAAAATTCCTGGGGATTCCTTGACCCGTCCGACTAGGGATACCTGTAAAACATTGGGAAGAAACAATTCAATATTTATAACCTGACAGTATAACAGTCAAATAATAAAACATTTCTGTTTTAGGCATAACTTTATTAAATCTACTTTCTCCTATAATTCTCCTAAACCCCTCAATGAAAGAATCCTTAATTATAAAAAGTAACAGCTAAAACTTTAAATGTCAAATTTCAGTGTTTATAATTTTCTATTAAAATCAATTAAATAGTTTTAAAAATACAGAGCCAAAAATGTACTCCAAGCTAGATACAATATTTTGTAAGAATAATCTCTGTTCTGCATATAGAAGTAAATAAATACTATTGTATGGATAATTATTGTTATAATTACAATTTTAAGATTAGAATAAAGTTATTGGTAAATTAAGCGGGCTAAAACAATGTTTAATACAAATAGTAAAGACCGAGATTATCTGAAGCTAGAGCAAACTCTGTAATGTTAAACCCTTACCCAGAGATGAATATCTAGAAATGAAAAAAAAAGGTGTATTCTGCTAACAGTGTTTATTTCTCCAACAGTCTTTGTATTCCTGATAGCTCACAGTCACTCTGATATCGAGTGAGGCGAATGAATTTGCAAGTTTCTGTAGTGAAGACACCTTCGTAACCACCTTTTCGGAAAAGGGAATGAATGGTCTGTATATGATCTCACCCTAACAACATATATTAAAAAATTTACCATTAATTTAAATTCAGGAAAATCAACTTAAAAAATTTTTAAATTCAGTAACGAGTTGCTCAACTTTCCCGACAACATTTAAAACTTTTGTGACGCCATCTGTTATGATATCTTATATTTAAAATTTTTTTTATATTTTAACTATTATAAAATGGCAAAAATCTTAATTTTGAGAGTAGGGATGAGTTTATAAAAAATTATAAATGCTAATAACGAATAAAATCGTCATTAAGTCTTACAGTCTTACCTAAGATACACGTGATCTCCTTTATCTTCCCACCTCCTCAACATTTTATTATCAACATTTAATAGCATCAATTCCCGTAATAAACAAATCTCCCTGCAAAATTTCTGATATTTTCGATAAGAAGCACGGGAGTTATTAAGCTTCTAACAGGGTGAACAAAATCGTGCCCTCTCCACACACACACACACATTAACATCTATACAGAAAATCCCCTCGAATTTTTCTGTTTTTGACCGATGGACATACTCTCTCTCCGTTGTATATAACAGAGCCGGGAAGTAAAAAGCTTGCTTTGAGAAACCATTATTGATTGTCTTCATTCTATATTTTCTTCATTAAAATACAAAATAATTTAATACTTTAAAAACTACTTATTACGATTTTTAGTACAATGAAAGTATTAAATCTACTTTAATAACCTGTAAAATGTTGATTTTAGTTTCTTTTATCCTTTCGTTAATCTCTCCGACAGTAAATGTACCAGTAATTGTCTATAGTAGTCTTAAATTTTCCATGATGCAATGATTAAATGATTGTAGGAAAAAATGTTTTGTAAGAAATTTTGTTACAAAACATACAAAGAGGAAGTATAATACGTCGGACAGTGATCCACAAACAGTTCTATCTTAAAATTTTGTTTTATTTTCAATTTAGAATTCTATGCTTTTAATCATTCTTCAAAAATTTTTATTTTAATTGTATTCTATAGGTAAGAGGCAATATTCTTAAAACATTGCAATTTGGCAGATTTATCTGGTTCACTCGATATTCCATGTTTTTTTTTTTTTTTTGAACTATTCGGTATAGCAGAGAATCTTTCTGTTTCTAGCTCTTACCTGTTTTGTCTTCTTTCTAGATGAGCATTGAGCCATTTAATGTATCATATAATATTTTTGGCTCAAACTTTTTTGAACCACTGAAATTTCTATTCTAGTAAAATTTCCTTTCTGAATTCGCATTCGATTTTTGCTGAATATACTCCAAGTCAGATGGTGGTTCTTCAATTTTTTCGCGGTGGTAATAAATACTATTGAGAATAAATGAAGAAATACGTAGCACTTTAGCTTCTGGGGATTTTTGGACTCGTCCGGATTCGTTTCCGGGTTTCCCAGAGCTGTAGGCTGCCACCCTAACCGCTCGGCCATCCGGCCATTCCGGTATAACGCAGGTTCGGCACAACACTGCTGAAAGGTTGCCGACCTCTAATTTAGTTCATTTATAGGAGTTTTCCATTTATTCAATAACTTTGTTATTTAAAGTATTTTTTCGTTTAATAAATATACAGGGTTGTCATACGGTGTGTTTGTTAAGTTATGGCAACGCAACACTTAGGCGATCTTTCTAGGGAGATGCCTTCCGGGAGGTCGTTTTAAGAGAAACTGGCCCCTTTTTAGGCGTTACAGACGTGGAAAAAACTCCACATGGCCAGCCCATGCGAGCGAGGCCCGAACCCACGACCGAACTCCCAGGTTCAGGGAACGAAGACCGCTTGGCTACTGGTGGGCTCTTGTTACAAAGTAACTTGATCAACTAACGGTAATATCGGGAGCGCGGAAAGCGAGGAATCTATTGATACTTTTGCTAGATAAGTACAAGATGAAATAAGCTTGAGATACACGAAAATAGGGGGAGAACGTGTCACAATTACTGTAAGCGTAACCGTTAGAGTAACCGTAACTCGAAAATTTCTAATATAAACACCGGAAATTCACGCAGAATAAATGGTCGCAAAAGTTTACTGTGACCTTAGCTGCGAGGTATGGGAGCATCTGTCCGGATAAATCGGACCCCGTCACTCACCACCCGGCCGCCTTAATTGCGGACCTGGCCGAACCCAAGACGAACTTACTATAAATTGCCCACAGGACAGAAAGAGTTATAGGCTATATATATACATTAATGTTTAATCAGCCATTAAGTTTACTGAAAATAAATGTGATAAAATTTATCAAAGAATTTTTCAAGAATTATAACAGTTCTGAAAATATTCGTCTTGACGCGCCATACGTTCATAAAGATTAATAATTTGAATGAACAAACTATAAATTTTATAATTATTTTTTTAAATCGTTCAAAATTATTTTACATAATTAGAGAATACGAATTAATAATATGTTATATTTAGTTACAAAATAAAAAAAAATTATATAAACAAAATTTAAATATACACGATTTGAAAAGTACAGATGTCACTGTGTTTGTTGACGTTCGAACCGTAAGGAGATTCGAGTACTGGACTTGTGAATTTTGGTTTCTTTTTCATAATTTTCTAAGAGACAAGATGTCAGTCGCTTGTGCTTCTCGGTTTGCTGTATTAAAGTTAGAAGACGAAGAGCCCACAACGACAACACCCAAATTAGAAAAAAGTAGAAACGTCGCGAATCCACAGGAATGTAAACAATCTAATGAGTCTAAAACAAAGAAGAAGAAAAAGAAGAATAGTCAAGATTCTGAGGTAATATTTTAAAACATTTTATTCTCTTTTATTTTATAATATATTTGGATATCATCATCATGATTTTAAGTGAACATATGTCAGTTCTTTTAAACACTTTACAATGTAGAAATTTGATTTAATCCCAATGAAGAATACATTATTCTAGAAAAATACATTACTTCTTACTAATTTTAATGTTAGTAATGTATTATCTTTTTATACAGTAATTTTCATAGGTAAAAAAACTTCTTGATTGAACTTGTCATTCAATAATATGTATAGAAATTCAGTAAAATACAGTTTGAATTCAAAAATACAAATATCAAATGTTTGAGATTTTCAAATAGAATGCAATTGATACATAGAATATGGATAGATGCCTTTTCTTATCATTTTTCAGATTGAGTCTGGTCTTGTTTTTGGTTTATTTACATAAAAACTTAGATTTGTGTTTCGTAGATTTCTTTAAAAATGACAGCATGATTATTCTAAAAATAATCTGATTCAATAATTTTTACACTTAATATATACTAGGCATGAATACCGTTGACAGGTAAGGGAGATGAAAATATTGTTTGCATTTTTCTTGTCCCGTTATTTTGTAAATATCTTTTAGAAAAATTTTTTGTCTATAAAAGGAAATATAGTAATACTTTGGTTTTCGTTGATTTTTTCTGCAAAGAATTTTTCTTGTTTTTCGTCAGTGTGCCCACGGTGTGACCTCGCTGCTAATTTTGTGAAAACAAAGGGCGATCTGTGCATTTTCCTGCTTGGTGTGGCATTGTTTCTCGTATGAGTGTTACTCTGCATGTCTAACCAAACAATTCTATTGCTTTTCTTTCCTTTTAACTCCATCATAGGACCAAAGAAAGTTTCCACAGCCCTTCGAATGTCGTGTTAAATACCATGTTAAATGTTCGTTTATCTTTACATTAGTCTTTTATATTCATTTAGTATTTAATTAAATGTTCTGTTACTAGTTTTGTTGTGGATTTTAAAGAATTAAAAGCTATTGGCTTTTTCTCAGTAACATATCATACAAGGAGCAGTTGTTGATATAGGTTTTATTGGAGGAAATGCATTTCTTCAAATTAATTTCTTATTGTTTTCAGTATTAAACACTATATTTATTCTCTATAAAATGCGTTTTTGGTATATATTTTGGAGTGTGTAGAACGAATTAATTGAATTTACATTGATTCATATGAAAATATTGCCTCAGTTTTTATCGGTTTTGGATTTTGCTGATTGTTTCAGATGGATTATCGATGAAAACCTGAGTTGTCACTGTATTTTAATGTGATATTTAATTGTCAATAAATTTTTTATATATATTCTTAATTGCATACTAATAGTATTGCTATTATATTGTAAGTTTACATTTGGCATGTTATGCTTGTAATTTAATAGACACAATGAAAATTTTTTGTTTTATTAATTAACATAAAACACAAAACTGTATATTCCAATGTTGTTTTTCTCATTTATAGATTAATATCCTTTTCTTTATCAAGAAAAAATACAGGCTTTTTAATTTGCTTTTTTATTCTATATTTCTACAGAGTCTTTATGTCTGTAGAATATCAAATTGTTTAAATTATCCATAAGAAATGAAGTGTATTAAATTGACAATAGATAATGATGATATAGACCTGTAGCTGTGGGGGTATGAGATGTCTAAGTCTCCTCACCTTAGTTAGCATTTCCCATATGCAATATTTATAATATATGATTTTGTTTTCATCACATACATAAACTTAATCTACTGTTACTTATTTTTACACTTAAACTTTAGCTAATAGAATTAGTACTGGCAGAAAAAAAGTAAAACACCAGTCATCAGTTTGCCTCTCAAGTCTCCCAATGATTTATTCCTAGTTGTGGGACTGGTGTGATAACTTAATTGATACATTTGACTCAGTTTCTTATTTAGAGTTGTTTCTTAAGAAACATAATTTTGATATGTGAAATCTATGTACAAATTTGTGTTTCTTAGGAAAAATGAATTACTGCCAAATGAATACCATGGTTTGCCCAGCTATTATTATGCTGTAATTAATAATTAGAAACTAAGTAATTTGGTAATAGAGCATAATAATAGCCCAATTAATTACGGCAATTGTTTGGCTTATTATCAATACATTGGGCTTCAGGTTGTTGATACATAAAATGTATTACTGTGTTTCAGCAAAATTGAAACAAATTAACAAGTTTGTATGCAAAAACTGATATTTGTTTTATTTAATAGCTGAAATGTAGTCATGTATTTATTCTAATGCATAATATTGCTAGCTATATGCTAACAGAGCATGAGAAATTTTTAATGTTTGTTTATTTACAAATATAAACATCATTTATCCTAATAATTATATTAAAGCCAAATGATTGCTGGATTAGATTATGTTATAGTCAGAGGCGGACTAAGGCTAAAGCGGGCCCTAGGCAACATTGTAATTCCGGGCCTATTTTTAAAATTAAAAAATTAAAAACCTAATTTTTGGGGCCCCAAAAATTACGGGCCCTAGGCACGTGCCTAGGTTGCCTAGGCCTTAGTCTGCCCCTGGTTATAGTAGCAGTCAGGGTTTCTCATTTCTCAGTCTTTTGCTTGACCCAGGATTTTCGAGGAAAAAGTGAACTGTTTTTCTGGGATATAATTATTTTTAAGATATAAAATAAGTCTCGAAATTGAATGATATAATTATTTTTCATCTTTTTAAGTAATTTAATACATTCTGGAACCTCCAAAATAATAATATTAATAATGCTGTGTAAAATATGTATTAAAAATTATCTTTGAATTACATAGAAATTTTTACAAATAGAAAAAATTTATTAAAGTTTGTTGGAAACTGCTTACAACAAAAAAATTCCTTTGAATTGAGTTGAAAATTTAAATAAATAAACGAGCTTAGATCAAACTTCTAACTTAGAAGGTAATTTTCATTATCTAAATGAAACATAATACATAATACAAAATAAAACACAATACAAAATATTATTGTAAATTTTTATAATAAGATTTTAAAAAGCAAAGATGGCCAATACTCTGATCACTCAATCTAGTTGGCCCACCAGTGGCCAAGCAGTTCCGTTTACTGAATGCTGGGAGTTCAGTTGTGAGTTCACGCCTTGCCAGGACAGGCTGACCATATGGAGTTCTCCGGGTTTTCTCCATGTCTGAATAGGGGCCAGTGACCCTTAAAAAGACCTCCTGGAAGACATTTCTCTATGCAGATCATCCAAGTGTTGTGTTACCATTTCTTAATAAAACAAACTTAATCTAGTTCTTATTTTAGTAATGAAAGTCCTGCTACCAAGAATGCCCTTTTCGATTCAATTGATGTGGGTGTAATCGTCTTTAATACATTTAAGAGAAGACAGATACTATGTTTTTTCAACTGCAGTCTCAAAGATTTTGAGTTCATTTCCAAGATGCGTTGCAGTACTTTTTTTGCTCTCTAGTATTCTTGATTTGTCTACCTCAGCTGCTTTAATAGCAGCATCAAGCTTATAGCCCGATAATTCGGCAGTTCATTTGGCTTTAATAATCAGGTTTATGAAGAAAACTTTACACTTGCATACTTCATACTCATTTGTATTCTTGCCAAATTTGCACAATCTGGCATAATGCAGTTATTGAAGCTGCCAGGCATAGTTAAAAATTAAGACAACATTGGCACAATTATTCAAGATATAGGTTCTGATAAATAAAGAATTTTCAGATTTCTTGCCACAAATAAGCTACATATTGATTATTAACAATCTGTGACATACCATAACAAGTAAAAGTTTAAAAAATGAATAAGCAGGCTTAAATTAATAAGTACAAATGTATTCTGACAGTTTATAAGTTAATTATATTTTCTATTTGCAAAATTTCCTCAACCTTAATACAAAATAAGAAAAAAGTGAACTTTTAAGAAAATTGCGAGATTTTCCTGGATGAAATCAATATCTCAGAATATTTCCGGGGTTAAAAGACAGATCACTCATTTGTTGCATAGCCATATTCCATTAAATCAATCATGTACCTATTAGTCCCTCTCAAAGTACAATATAATTATTTAAAAGAGCAAAATGCTGAAGCTGAAGCAAGATTAACTTATTGTATTAGTGATTTTGTTCATGTTTAAAATGTTAATACTGTATAGTACCTGAAGAAAAATTAAAGTTATTTACTCCAAAAATGTACAGATGCTGCTTGTTACATCTTGGAATAGGCACACTATACCTGCAAATCTAGATTAATTTTCATGCTTTTAGGACAAAAACGACACACACTACATTTTGAACATCTGTCTAAATTAGACATATTCCTATGGAACCAAAGGTGTTTAACATAAATAGGTTTTACTGTAATTACTTTGATTTAAAGTTGTTCATTAAAGTACACATGGTTAAACTGCTGCTGCTAGATGAATTTAAAATGTAGAAAGTGGCTAAAATCATGTACTCATGTCATTAAGATTTTATTTTTAACAGAATTAAAATAAAATTAAATAATTCTTATAATGTTTTAATATTGCACCTGTTTGAAATTATGTAATAGAATAAATTTTTTTCCTTGAAAATTGTTATTAAAATATTACAATAAAGTTCCAAATACTTATTTATCTATAAATTCCATCAGATTTAAATATTTCTTTTATAACTTTAGAAATATTTCATAAATAAGCAGAAAGGTTTGCAATAAGCATTGAATGATAAAACTGTGCTAATATAAATTACAGAGTAATACCTCATTTTTGAAACTTTTTATAAAGACAAGCTTTTCTATTAATTTTATAGTTTTAATTTTCATCTTGTGCTAACATAATTCAATCATCCTTTGTATGATCTCCAAATAAGATTGAAAATCTACAAAATACCTGTGAGACCAACAAGTGAGACAAAGACACAAAATCGAAAATAAATAAAATAAAACATAATAATTTTATTAACTTGCTTGTTACGATACAGGTTTCTAAGGATACCAACAATGCTACATCCACCGAATAATTCACACAATTAATTATTCC